GATGGGCACATCTGCTATTTTTAATTGTCCACCATTGATTTCCCTTTTTTTTAGGATAATGCCCCCGTTTTTCCCCTGGGAATTGTTCCTCCCCCATTGCATGCATATTTAGAGCTATGACCACCCTGAGTCCCACTAAGCCAGTCAGCCTATCTCCAAGAGCAGAAAGTAGCCAGGGCTGGTTCATCCTGACAGCAGTGCTGTGAAAGTGACATCCTCCATATGCGAGGAGTGTTCCACTTCTTGCCCCAATTCAGCTTTACCTCTGATTTTATGAGCTACCTGTCTCTTTCAAAAGAAAAAAACTTTTATTTTATTCACAAGCTAGAATCAAAGTTGGTTACTTACAATCTAATATAGATTTATATTCTTGAACATTTTAGGGTAAAGCAGTCTACTAATATGACAACATTTCTACCATTTTCTTATGCCTTTGAAGAGATTGCATTTGCAGCAGCAAATTTAATGGCTTATCTTTTCTTTTTTTGATTGATTGATTTTTTTAAATTTATCTTTACTGTCAAAAGAATTACAGATGTCTCCTTTTTTCTCCACTGACCCCTTCCACCCTGCACCCATCCCTGCCCCAGGCCTTCCCCACACTATTGTTTGTGTCCGTGGCCATGCATTTATGCATGTAACTTCTTTGGTTAATCCCCCTCCCACCTTCCCTCTGAGATCCGTCAGTCTGTTCCATGCTTCAGTGTCTTCTAGGGCACACGCCAGTTTTAAACCTTTCATTTTGATCAGGCCATTTTTTTCCTCCTCAAATATTCTTCCAAGCCTCTGTGTCTGTCAAAATTCCATCCTTACTAAAGGTCTAAGTTTAAATAAAACTTTACTGAAATGTCCTCTTTTTTTTAATGAACCCAGATAAAACATGTTTATTTTGATAACATGATATATTGCCTCTCTTATAAGAGTGTACATTTCTTGAGGGCAGGAATAGCCTCTTATTATGCATTGATTGAGATCAATGCCAAGCATAAATGGGGTGAACCAATACTTGTGAATTGAATTCTGTCTGGGTGTAAATTGAATTCTCTCTGAAATCCAGTTTCATATTTGACATTCTTAGCTGGTCTTAAAGTCCATGAAGAAGATCTATAAACCCTTAAACTTATAAGCAAATATTCTCCATATATTTCTAGTTGTATTTTTCAAAAAATAGAGCCTAAAGCTTTCATTAGATTTTCAGATCTCTGATCCATAAATGGTTAAGAATGATGACCTGCATGTCTAGAAGCAATTGTAGTAAAACATCTATCACAAGTGTACTTTGGGGCTATTTTTCCTCCCACACTCTAAATTCTTCTAGCCTGGGCTAGTAATCAAATTAACAGAGACAGATTAACAGGAGAAGATCAGGTTTTAACGTGCACACATGGCATTAAAATTCCCAAAACAGTGAGGCAACGAGGTATATAAGATGTTTTGTACAAAGAGGGAAGGAGTATTAGGTTTCAGAAGTGAGAATGAGAGACTTACAGGGAGTTGAGGAAAAGTGGAACACACGTGGCAGGAAAATCCCCCCGACGACTCAGAGACAGTGGACACAGGGGCATCTAGCTCACAGGCACCTGCCTGAAACCCTCTGGTTATCACACTTAATTCAAATTAGGCCAGGGCAGCATCCTGAGATCTCCTTCCCGAAGCAGGCTTCTCTGTTGAAGCTCTTAGGCAGATAAGGGGTGGGGGGTCAGAGGCCTCCTCTGAGTCTTGTTTCCTAATAAACAGCTTAAAATTAATATTGCGCAGAGCAGCTTTAGGGTGGTGAAACCTTGGTCCTGGTCAGTACTGTGCTAGGCCATGCAGTCCCTCTCATTTTACCCTCCTGGCAACCTGGTGCAATTCCCCTTGCTATCGCCGTGACAGTGGTGATGGCACTTACATTGTTTGCATTTATTGTGTGCATCCTACGCACCATGTATGTTAGTGCTGCTCCAGGTACTTATATGTATGAACCCATTTAATACTCCACTAGTTCTATTGGGCAAGTGATGTTTAAAAATCTCCCCACTATTCCAAATGGTGAAACTGAGGTCCAGATAAATTATGTAATTTGCTTTAGTTCATGCAACTAGTGGTCGAGTTCTGTATTCAAACCCAATGGGTTAACTCCAGAACTTGCTCTATTGGTCACTCCGCTCTTAGGTAACTGCTAAGCTGGGATTTAAACTGGGATAATTTAGCTTCTCTGTTTTGCTTCTAAATTGAGGTAAAAAGTTTCGGTAACTTACCAAGGTTATAGAGCTTAGGAGGTGGTAGAAGCCAACTTTGAACATACATCTGTCTGATTCCAAATCCTTTCTATTTCATCTCTGCCTTAGAGTGCTTTCACTGGGCTCAGTCCTTTAAGGAGACTGTAAAGAGAAAAGGTTTCATTTTGTAGTGGGGTCCTACACTACTTGGGAAAGGGCAAAAATTTTCATCACCGATCTTAAACTCCATGAAGGCAGGAACTGTACACATAGCAGACAATAAAAATTTGTTGACTTCATTGATCAGTGTGTTTACAAAAACAGAGATGGGTTCTAGAGCAACTCATTCAGCAAGGAACATTAGCAGGTGCATAAGCGGGGACCGCAAATGCAGTGCCCAAGCAGGTATCATAAATTAGTAACGAAACTCATCGTGTTACAAAGGAAGCAATTAGGTTGGGGAAAAGCACGGTACAAAAGCACAAAAGCACTTTTAGCTATTTTCACTCATATAATCCTCACACACCCTCTGCACTAAAGTGCAGAAAAGTCACATAGCTAATACAGGAGCTGGGACTCAAATTTAGACAATGTGACTTCAGGATGAGCACTACTCTCTCCCGTTTTTGGATCATGCATGTGCAAGCGTGGAGGTAAATGCAAGTAAGAGAAACATAATGGTGGAATGGAGCTCTCCAGAGAAAATTGACGTCTCACAATGTGTCCTAAACAATTAGGAGTTTAACAGAGGTGCCTGGACGTTACTGTGGCCTTCTTAAAGACTGAGTGGTATAAATGTTGCCCATGAAAATGGGTTCTTGTTGTGTTGTAAGAAAGGAATTTCAAAGGGCACATGCATGGGGAAAGTTTAAGCATAGTGGCAAGATTTATTGCAGTGAAAGGAAAGAATACACCCCTGAGGATATAGAAGGCAGGCAGGCTGTGATAGAAACTGCTCCCAGATCCCTGATAATCCTGCATATATTTTCTTGGTTTTCAGGAACAAGCAGGCTTGTCATTCAAACTATCGAACTTACTCCCTGGGTTTTTCCAGGCTTGTGCTGGGTCCTCCAACTAATCAACCCCTTCCCTGCATCTTCTGGGGGTCTGCACCCTATCCAATCTCATTCTTATCCCAGATTTTCCCAAGCTAGGTTCCACCCCTTTATGTCACCATTATGGCTCCTACTGTGCATGCCCCAAAGTTCTGCTTCTTCACCTGGTTTCTGCTGTGCATGCACTTGCTCCCCCTGTGGCATCTTGGCTTCTGCTGCACATGCACCTAGAAAGGACTTTCCCCTTTCCTCTCCTCTGTCTACCCCTCTCCTCTGTAAGCCGATTCTCCCTGCCCCTGCTGCCCAGCAAGGATGAGGCTGTTCCTGGTGAACCTGTGAATGCGGACATTTCCTAGAGAATCAGGCTTAATGTCCAGTTCAGCTCCCTAGTAGATTAAGCTTAATGTCTGATTCCGTTTTCTCCCTTCCTTTATTAATACGAACTAGCTACCTATGCTGACATAAATACTATGCACAGCCTGCCAGAGGGAATGAGTAGTGATCTCTTCGTTCTTTGCTTTCATCTTAAAGCCTTCGTTAAGCACTCTCTAAGCAGTGGTTTTTCCAGTAAGAAGGGAATTCTATCAACCCAACCAACAAGCACATCTTTAAATTGCTTTTCTGTCAGTGGTAATTTATTTCCTCTAATTCTTCTGTGCTCTCACATGGGGTCTTTCTCATTATCAGGAGAACTTTCATCCATATTCCTTTAGCCCCTGACCTTAAAGTCATCAAGCTTGGGGCCAGGAGGCTGGGGAGTCATAAATGTATTGCTAATTGTATAATCCTAGTCACCAAGAGGAAACTTTCTGAGTTCAACAGGATTACGTTAGTTCAGCAGCAGTCTCTTGATTTTGTGCTACTACTGTTGCCGGGCTTGTCCTGTTGTTGTGGGATGTTTGGAGTATCCCTGTTTTCTATTCACCAGATGGTAGGTGCAGCCTCTCTCATGTACGACTACCAATGTCTCCCTCCAAACATTGCCAGCTGGCCCCGTGGCAGGGGGTAATTTCACCCTTGGCTAAGAATCACTGGATTAGAGATGTAAACACATGAGTTCATGTTTGCACATGTTCACCCACCATTTTTATTGTCACGTTGGCATAGGGACTTTCTTTTGGCTTTGCTTCTTTCTTTGGATTTTTTCCCCTTTGCTGTTGTAGTTTTTTGTTTGTTTGTTTGTTGATTGGTTTTTAATCCTTAGAGGAATCTTTGCTTTAATTGTGACTCCTATTTTTAGGGTCTATCCATTTCACAAAATCTTTCTGAAGAGTTGATTATATCTGCTATCACTATTGGCTACCACTGTGTGCTTAGCACTCTGCTAAGCATTTTACATGAAATTTTCAAGTTTAATTATCAAAATAAGAGGCAGGTTCTGCCTCTTACAGATGAAAAAACTGAAGCACAAAAATATTAAGTCACTGGACCCAGGTTTCACTGTGTTTGAGTGAGAGAGTTGGGATTCTGAGCAGGGCTCTGTGGTGCCCTCCTGTGCCTTCTCGTCCCCTGCCCTCCTTTTGGGTGGGGGGTGAAACCAACAACGTCACTAATGTGTGCCCCTTTAATTCCTGATCTCAGGATAATAACAAATGTGTTGAAATTTGGTCTATGAGTCATAATCACAAACATGTGCATTTAAATCACATGGTATGTGCAGTTTGTGGAAACTTTGGTTTAATTGCCAGATTGCAGAGGAGCCACCACTGACTGTGGACACATGTCTTTCTCTCGTTACCACCAGAGCGTCTCTATGTGTTCCCCTGCCAGTGGAACTACCGTCCTGATCACTGCATGTATGGGAGCAACTGCAAAGGGGCTGAACTTGAGGGTGTGTCTGTTCTGCACGGGAACCGAGGCGTCTACCACGATGACAAGCAGCCCACTTTCAAAGCGCTGTATGAGGCCGTGCGGGATGTAAGTGTTCTTGCCACCGTTCAGCACAACGTGCTTACCAGCCGAAAGCAGCACAGGTGCTGCAGTCATCGTGTTCTTTGAAGGCCAAATAATTCCCCACAGGTTATACCAGGCTTCCCCAAACTCAGTCACTGCCCCCCAATACTATATTTTATTCACTCTTTACTTAGTATTTCCAAGTAAGTCACACACTTTTGTTCTCTTAAATTCACAAAAGGAGAAAATTTTATATCAGAAATAGAAACCCTGTGCCAATTGCCATAATACAGGGTAATGGATTAGGGTAAAGATAATACAATAAGAATAAAATTATATTCATTTCAAGCTAAGCATGTTGCCTGGTGGCCATTTCAGTTGAGCAGTCAGGTGTGCAGGTGTCATTCAGGACAAAGAGCCCAGTCATTACTCACATCCTGCAACGTACAAGCAAAGGGGAAAGAAGCACCAGCTCCCGGTGCTCAGTGTTCCATCTGTACCCACCAGAGTGCTGAGTGGGGATCGAATGGATGGAGCACAAAAGCAAGAATCATCTCAAGTCTCCTGCAAGTTTGTGGACCCTTAAGCCAGGGGACGGGGGTGAGAAGGAAAGGAGGGAGAAGTAGAAAGGTAACCTCTTCTCCCTCTCCCCCACAAGAAGGCCTCCAAAGGGAGGTGCCTGGCACAGGAATGCAGATATGCATATGAGCATGCGGGACAGGCGCTGAGTGTGACTACAACTCCATCAAGAAAAACAGTGCACTGCTTATGTGCCCAGTCTGGTGAGAGGAGGGCAGCCTTTCCCCAGAGGCCTACCAAGGAGCCTATGGCTGCCTATGGTTCAGCCACAGAGATCACACATAGGACTTTGGCCGGAACTGCACTCCTCACGGCCAGAGGCCCCTCTTATTACCTTGCAGAGATTGATTAGAAAACGTTGAGGAGTTGAAGATATATGTGAACTATCTTTTGCAATAAATGGGATGATTGAAATAACCTTATTTTGAGGCTCACAACCTGAAATCATGTAAAGTACTGCCTGCTAGTATAGTAGCCTCCCCACATCCATGGGGAATCCTTTACAAGAACCTGGTGGACGCCTGAAACTGCAGATGGTACTGAACCCTATGTAAACTATGTTTTTTCCTATACAGTAGTCCCCCCTTATTTGCGGATTTGCTTTCCATGGTTGTAATTACCAGCAACCAATGACAATCTAAAAATATTAAGTGGAAAATTCCAAAAATAAATAATTTAAAAGTTTAAAATTGCACGCTTTCCTAAGTAATGTGATGAAACCACATATGCCACTACTCGGTAGTCATTTAGTAGCCCAGTTGGCTATTACAGTATATTGTTAAAATTTATCCATTTTACTATTAGTTACTATTAATTTCTTACTGTGCCTAATATATAAATTAAAATATTTTGCTGGCAGTATTACAGATCTCCCCCATTGTCTCCATTTTGCTCCCCTCCACCCAGCCACCAAACCACCCCAGGCCTGCACCACACTAGTGCCTGTGCCCATGGGCTCTGCGTATATGCATATAAGTTCTTTGGTTAGTCCCTTCCTGTCCCTCCCCACACTCCCTCACTCTGAGATCTCAGTGTGTTCCATGCCTCCATGCCTCTGGACCTATTCTGTTCATCAGTTTATTTTGTACATTAAATTCCACATGCAAGTGAGATCATATGATATATGGCTTTCTCTGACTGGCTTATTTTGCTCAGAGTAGTACTCTCCAGGTCCATCCATGCTGTCCCGAAATGTACAAGATCCTTCTTTACAGCTGCGTAGTATTCCCTGGTGTGAATGTCCCACAGCTTTTTTATCCACTCATCTACTGATGGGCACTTGGGCTGTTTCCAGATCTTAGCTATTGTAAACTGTGCTGCTATAAACATAGGGGGGCATATATTCTTTCTGTTTAGTGTTTCAGAATTTTTTGAATATATTCCCAGTAGTGGCATCACTGGGTCAAATGGCAGCTCCATTTTTAATTTTCTGAGGAATCTCCACACTGTTTTCCATAGTGGCTGCCCCAGTCTGCATTCCCACCAGCAGTGCACCAGGGTTCCCCTTTCCCCACACCCTCGCCAGCACTTGTCATTTGTTGATTTGCTGATGTAGCCATTCTGACAGGTGTGAGGTGAGACCTCATTGTGGTATTAATTTGCATCTCTGATGATTAGCAACGTTGAGCATTTTTTCATATGTCTGTTGACCATCTGTATGTCCTCTTTGGGGAAGTGACTATTCAAGTTCTTTACCCATTTTTTTTATTGATTTCAGAAAGAGGAAGGAGAGGGAGAGAGAGATGGAAACATCAATGATGAGAGAGTCATTGATCAGCTGCCTCCTGCACACCCTGCACTGGAGATGTGGCCTACAACCTGGGCATGTGCCCTGACTGGGAAACAAACCTCCTGGTTCATAGGTAAACACTCAACCACTGAGCCATTCCTGTTGGACTTTCCCCATTTTTTAATTGGATTGTTTGTCTTCCTGGTGTTGAGTTGTATAAGGCCTTTATATAGTTTGGAAATTAACCTCTTGTAAGATGTATCATTGGTGAATATGTTCTCCCACACAGTTGGTTCACTTTTCATTTTGTTGATTTTTTTTGTTTTGTTTTGTTTATCCTGTGCAAATGCTATTTACTTTGATGTAGGCCCATTTGTTTATTTTTTCCTGTTTCTCTTGCCCTAGGAGATATATCAGCAAAAATTCTGCTATGTGAGATGTCTGAGATTATGCTGGTGATGTTTTCGTCTAGAATGTTAATGGTTTCCTGAGTTATATTCTTTTATCCATTTTGAGTTTATTCTTGTGTATGGAGTAAGTTGTTGGTCTAGTTTTATTTTTTTGCATGTATCTGTGCAATTTTCCCAACATCATTTATTGAAGAGACTATCTTTGCTCCATTGTATACTCTTGCCTCCTTTGTCAAATATTAATTGACCATTTGAGGTGGGTTGATTTCTGAGCTCTCTGTTCTGTTCCATTGATGTGTATTCTTTTTCCTGTGCCAGTGACATGCTGTTTGGATTACAATGGCCTTATAGTCTAGTTTGATACCGGTACTGTGATCCCTCCAACTTTGTTCTTCTTTCTCAAGATTGCTGAGGCTACTCAGGGTCTTTTTTGGTTTCAAATAATTTTTCAGAATATTTGTTCTAGCTCTGTGAAATATGCTGTTGGTATATTAATAGGGATTGCTTTGGGTAGTATGGACAGTTTAAAGATGTTATTTTTTCCAATCCATGAACACGGTGTATTCTTTCACTTGTTAGTATCTTCCTCTATTTCTTTTCTCAATGTCCTATTGTTTTTTGAGTACAGGTCTTTTACCTCCTTGGTTAAGTTTATTTCTGGGTGCCTCATCTTTGTTGTTGTTGCAGCGGTAAATGGAATTATTTTCTTAGTTTCTCTTTCTAAGAGTTCATATTAATGTATAAAAATGTCATTGATTTCTGGGTATTAATTATGTATCCTTCTACTTTGCTGAATTCATTTATTAGATCTAGTAGTTTTTTGGAGGAATCTTTAGGGTTTTTTATGTATAATATCATGTCACATGTGATTAATGACAGTTTTACTTCCTTCTTTCCAATTTGAATGCCTTTCACCTTTTTCTCTATGCTAATCACAGTGGCAAGACTTCCAGTAATATGTTGAATAAGAGGGTGAAAGCAGACCCCTTTGTCTTCTTCCTGATCTTAATGGAAACACTTTAAAATTTTGCCCATTGAGTGTGATGTTGGCTGCAGGTTTGTCATTTATGGCCTTTATTATGTTGAGGTTGATCCCTCTATTCCCACTTTGCTGAGAGTTTTTATCAGAAATGGGTGCTGGATTTTGTTGACTGCTTTTCCTGCATCTATTGATATGAAAAGGTGATCTTTATGATTAGTTTTGTTTCTGAGATATATTATTTATTTCTGAATATACTACCAGCCTTGCATCCCTTGAATAAATTTCACTTGGTCATGGTGCATGATCTTTTTAATGTATTGCTGTATCTGATTTGTTAATATTTTCATAAGGATTTTAGCATCTATGTTCATCAGGGATGTTGGCCTGTCATTTTCTTTCTTTGTAGTGTCTTTATCTGGTTTTGGAATTAGGATAAGGCTGGCCTTGTAAAAAGGCTTTGGAAGCCTTACCCCCCTCTTGAATTTTTTGGAATAGTTTTTGGAGGATAGGTTTTAGTTCTTATTTAATTGGTTGGTAAAACTCGCCTGTGAAGCCATCCAATCCAAGACTTTTGGCTGCTGCAAGTTTTTTGTATTTTTTAAAAAATTACTGCTTCAATTTTATTAGTTATTCATCTATTCAGGTTTTTCTGACTCATCCTGATTGAGTTTGGAAGATTGCATGTTTCTAGGAATTTGTCCATTTCACCCAGGTTGTCCAAATTGTTGTTCATAGCATTTTCTTACAATCCTTTCATTTCTGTGGTGTCAGTTGTTACTTTGCCTCTTTCACTTATGATTATATTTATGTGGTTCCCCTCTCTTTGTTTCTTGATGAGTCTGGCTAAAGATTCATCAATCATGTTTACCTTGCAAATAATCAAGCCTGGTTTTATTGATCTTTTGTATTGGTTTTTTAGTTTCTCTGTCATTTATTTATGTTCTGATCTTTATTTGAGCTTTTTCTTGTTCCTTGAGGTAGACCTGTGTTCCATAGGCTTTGGATATTTGTGTGTTCATTTTCATTTGTTTCCAGGAAGTTTTTAATTTCTCCCTTGATCTCATTGGTAATCCATTCATTATTTAATAACATGCTATTTAGCCTCTATGTGCTTGAATGTTTTTTGAATGCTTTTATTGTAGTTGATTTCTAGTTTCATGCCATTGTGATCCAAGAATATGCTTGACATGTTTTCAATCTTCCTTAGCTTGTAGAGACTTGTTTTGTGCCCTAACATATCTTTGAGAGTGTCCCATGTGCGCTTGAGAAGAATGTATATTCTGCAGTTTGGGGATGAAATATTCTGTAAATATAAATTAAATCC